TTCCGAATAAGTCAGGACCTCAATCTGTAAAAAAGAAGACATCGAGGACAAAAAAACACTGCAGGCTCGTCTGCACTTCTAATATCTTTGAAAGCTGGTATAACAGAGCTTCGAGAACCGATACGACACCATCAAAATGCTAAGAATTCAAATTCTTTTTGCCACTACTTATAGGTCCAGGTTCAAGTGGCGGCAGAAACAGAGAGTACAAAGGTTTCTAATCTAATGCTCTAGCCACAATGATATCTCGAAACGATTAAAGCCTTGCCAATTCTTACTGTTAAGAGAACTATGAAGGCCGTAATCCGTCCCGGGAACGAAAAGAATATCAGAATTCCTTGCAGGCTGACCACCAGCAGACACAACACTTTTTTTCAACGGTAATGGAAAAGTTGCCAATTGCATAGACAGAGGACCTGCGTATTGTAAAGTTCACAGTTTACGGTCTTAACCTGAACTGCATCCTATTCAGTACTGCTCAACCCAATTCCAGCTGTACAAATCGGTTAGTTTCACGCTGTTTATCTTACAGAGTCAGTCTGAACGATAATCTTATCTTTTATGCTCAAAAATTCCAAAACAGGATCAAAGTTGCACCAACCTGGCTTATCCATTTCGTGTTTTCTTCTTCGCTTTTTTCTTTTACAGGAGAAAATTGAGGGAAGAACCAGGGACACATCGGATTTTGCTCAGAGATCGGTGCACGAACATCCGCTGATTGCTTGTACCTAAGAAGCTTCCAGGTAACGAAGTTAGTTGGAACAGTAGCAAAGCTTAGCAGCTAACCATACTGATTTTAGAACAACATTTCTCCTTCCTTCCTCAGAAGTGGTTACTTTCTACAAGAGTAGAAATTCCAGAATAGCCCGAATGGTAGCACAGCAATTATTTTTTGGCAAAGTTGTCGACAGCTCTTCTTCCAAAAGTTGCTCATAAGCAAGCTTCTCAATTTACCATCGAAATGAATGAACAAACCGTAGAGGGACTGAATGTGCTTTGTGCTATAGACGAAGTCGAATTCCACAGCGTTCAGAAAGGAAGTGCTTGATCGCCCAGCACAAGAATTCAAGAAAAAACTAACTGCTGAAGTGACGAAATCCAAAAATTTCG